CATGGGCCAGTTTGGCTGTCCCTGTGGATTCCTCTATGAAAATGATACCGATGTATTATCTGAGCTTGTTTTAACAAATTTTTTAAATATTTTAGAGCACAATCTAGATGTAAGACCAAAACATTTGAATGTTGATGACATTTTTGATGCTATAACAGATTGCATTTCATTCAATGAGTCGAGAAGCCTGTATGTGACATCCCTTTTGAAAAGGATTACACAGCAATTAGAAGTACAGGTTAACACAGACAGCATGGAAGAAGACACATCTGATGAGGATGATGATTATAACTCTGATGATTCTGATGATCTTGATATGGGTTATATATATGGTAATTACTATGATGAAGATGATGACGATGATGATGATTCTGATGATCACATTTTTTAGTATTAAAATGATATTGTCTCAATATATTTTGTACACACACCTTAAACCATTGAGTTTATAATCGATTGAGATCTCAAAGTGACAATTTACAGCTTACATTCTAATTGCAGACTAAAACCTAATCTATTAGTGTTTTTGTCACTAGTCAAGGGCGGATTACTTTCCATTCTAATTTTTTCACACTAACAAAGCCAACACTGGACAGATTGACATGTTGCTTTAGTCAAGAAATACCTTGGAGCGCAACAGGAATGGTGAGGCATGGAAAAGGTACGGTGTGTAATAAAAATAGAATTGGCAAGGAACAGCGAAGGTTTGGTGACTTATTTTTAAGAAACGACCAAGGTACGGCAGAAAATAGGAACGGGAATAGGTATGCAAACAAGGCATGGATATTTTTAAAATTTTTACAAGTCAGTTCCACCATTGAAATCCTTGCTAATTTTCTATAAAAGTACAAATAACACTTATTTAACAATAAATAAACAATATGAATTTTAAATTAATCGTAATATTATAGAATGAGTCCTTTATTACATAAATTTAATTTTTTACCTGAAAAGGTTGAACAACTATCGAATAAATATATTATTATTTCAATATTAAATTTTTTTATTGTAAAAGAATTTCAAAATTTTTAAAATTTATAATAATTCATGATTAACATAAATTGATTCAAGTAAAACTTGGAATCAATGTAAACAACTTGGCATCTAGCATTGATATCTTTCCAATCAACGTTTAAATTGGAAGATTTCACTCTATTCAATTTTCTGAATTGACATACTTGGTGATAATCATTTGTAACAATCCACACTTTTCCAAATTTAACTGTATCTTTTGTATGTGATTGAATACATCCTATGTATAATTTTCCTTCTTGTTTAAACATTAAGTATTGATTTGGAGCAATTGCTTTAAACCATTGTTTTGATTTCTTTCGTAACCAAGGATATTTAGCATTAAGACTGACATGTAACTTTTCAAATGCTGCACCCCGCTTTTCAACATCCTTATGATTCGATCCATCATTAAACTTTTTAAAAAGTTTGTGTTTCAATTCGAATAATAAAGCCCAAAAGTATCTAGGACTTCCCCATTCTTGACAATCTTCAAATAAATGAGTTACCCAATGGAAATTAACATTATGACATTTGTTTGGATATAATTCAACATAATGTTCTCTGAATTGGAGGAAAATAGATTTGGATTTTTCAATAGAAAGAATTGTTACCTCATTTCTTAATAACATACTCGTCCATGCAATATGTTCTACCCAACAAACAACATGTCTAGTTCTTTTTTCTTGTGAAATATGTTTCAATTCCTTATTTGAATAAATTAACTTGTAAATTATTGGAATACTATAAAAACCAAATTCTAAAAATTCGTCAGCTGAACAATTCAAATAATTTGATGCTCTCATTCTAATTGATTCTCCAGAACTTAAATAAAACTCATCTATAATATCCTGAAAATCAGAAAATAATCTTGGGTATGAAAAATATTCTATTAATGCAGTCAAATGTCTTCTTAATTCACCTTGAACAAACACATGCATAAAGTCAACTGTTGAATTCTTAAATACGTCATGATTTCTTAGCTTATACAATGGGTTATCTTGTTTTTCAAGTGTAACACCATTTTTTTTCATTTGAGTGAGCTTTCTTTGTACAGTATTGTAATCAAATTTTGAATCAATTAATTCAATTTCTTGTTTTGATAATAATTTAAACCCTTTTCTTTCCTTTTTAGGTGTTGTTTCAATACTTTCATGAATTGAAACAGCTTCATCTACAGTTCTAATGCTAAATGTATGTTCTAAAACTGGTTCATCTTCCATATTATCAGTTTCTTGATTTTCTTCATCTTGATCATCTTCTTTTCCTGTTTCTGGATTGAAATAATTACATTCTTCATCAATATCATTTGGATTGTGCGTTTGGAGATCAGTTTCAACTTGCAATTCTTGTTCTGTTTCCGTTTCATGTTCTTTACAGGGCTTTGGTATAAATTGTTTCAAATTTAAAGACGGATTCTTGAAACAGAACTCATTGTATGAATCAATTAATTCATCTGGAGTTGAGCTGTACATATTTTTTGGACAATGACATCTGGAGCAAAGATATTGTTCCATGAATAAAGTAAACCATCTTTGAACTGAATCCCAAATCCAAGGACCTAATACGTATTGAAGAGATACTTCTTTTTGTAAACCTGAATGTTTCACAATAAATGTTTTCCCTTCAATTTCATTATATTCATTAACAAACATTTCCAACATTTTAAATAAACCCTTAATATTTCTACATTTCCCAAGTAATGAAATGGATTCCATTGAGCTTGTCATAAAATTATGTTCAAAGTTGAATAAAGTAAAATAAAATCCAGTAACTTGACTTGTACCTGTTCTATTCTTTTGATATTCATCTAAATATGGAGCAAATACAATAGGAGTTGAATCAATCTTGTTGGCAATCTTCATGAAACCATTTGTTTTGAATGGTTGTTGTTCTCTATTGAAGTTAAGAGCTCCATCTTTAGTATAAATATTATTAGAAATAAAAGGATCTGCAAGCAGATTGTTGATAGTTTCCCTTAAACTATAATAAACAAAATCATTATCATCTAGTGGTGAAATAGGTTTTTGAAAATCAATAGGTTTTCTACAAATAGAATCATAAGAAGGAATATTAATATCCTTTAAAGCAAATATCTCAACAACTCTTTCATACTGAACTTTTGACAATCTGTCATTTTTAACTAACATGAACAGACTCCATTCAAATTCATCTTTGAAAGGAGCATATTTTGATTCGAATCTATTATGAATATGTTCAATTTCAATATTATTTTCAATTTGTTTTGATTCAATTATTGAACTACAATCAAATAAATCTCCAATAACTTTCTTATATGATTCTTCTAATTCATCACCAACTTCCTTAACTGATTTATCACTATTGGGCTCAAATATTAATGTTTTTGAATTTTTGCTCATTTTCCAAACTGCCCAATAAGCATTTTCATCTGTTTGTGCACCTTCTGGAACGTGCCTAAAATTAATATTATTGTCATTCTGTTGTACGGAATGGTTGCAAGAATTTGATGTTAGTTGATCTAATGAATCAATATGAGGAAGATGATTATCAATTATATGTTCCATTATTGTTGCTTCTTCAGAGGTTATCACATTACAACAATTGAATATACTATTTCTATTTGTGTGCTCACTTTTCAAATGTTTCTTTAAAGTGGTTGCATTTGAAAAAGACTTTGAACAAAAGGGGCATATTAAGGTGGTAAATGAATCAAAATTTTTACATTCTTGATTTTTACACCTAACTTTAATTGCCCTATGAAAATGAGATTTTTTGTTACTTGAACTACAAATTTTGACATCAGTTGATGATTTCACATAATTATTACAACTAGAACAATACAGTTTTGCTTTTCGAGGGTCAACCCTGTGTGAAAACAATATTTTCGCTTGTGGAATTTTCATTTATTTTTTTTTCCAAAATTTTGCCGATATTTTAAAAATAGATTGTAAAGTGTTCATATCACCACTGCCAGAGAAAAGTAGAAAAACAACAACAAAAAAATATCAGTAAGTTAACATCAATATTCGACTCACTTTCGACCAGACATGCCAGCAAGATCACAACCAACCCCTTCAAATCAATATACCTCACCAAGATCAGCATCTGATCAAGAAGAATCTGATCAAGAATCAACTCAAAACAAACAAACTTCACAAGGTACACCACAAAAGAAAGTATCAAAGAGTAAGTATTCTATCTAATTATTACCAGTGTGATAATTCTTATTGACAGAAAGAACAAAAAGAATTATACCAAACCTTTCCGATACAAAATTTGCAAGTTTAAATCATACTAGATTAAAAAAGGTTTGGCAAACCAAACATAAAGTGTAAGTTATTCGTATAATTATTAAATTAAATACAGAATAGGTTTTCCAAAGGTATTATTCAAGGTTTTTACAAATATGTACAAAAACAAGGTTCGGATTTTGTACTAGATATTTTAAAGAAGGAAGAATTGTTAGTGTCATTAGCCCATCACTTTGTAAAATTATTTTCAGAAACTTTGGAAGCAAGAAGTGAAGAAGAGCTTACTGAAAGAGAAGAAGAAGACTTGAAAGAAATTGTATGTTAATTTTATTTATTTTTAATTAATTTTAATTATTTTTCAAATATTTTAGGGTTTGCATTATTGGATACTGAAGAATTTATTACAGAATTTCAAAGGCATATCAGAAACAAATCAAGTGCTAATTGTAACAGAAGAATTAATAGACGAAATAACATTAAACCAATAAATTTAGATTAATTACATTTATTTTAAATTTTTAAAAATTTAACATTCCAAAATTGGATTCACCAAATATTGCTTTAACTAATGTTGTTTCTCTTTGTATTTCTTTTCTCGAGTCTGTACTTGTTTCTTATGACATTACTCTATTTGTTTCTTTTACAATTTCTCTTCATGTGCTTATTAATGTTTCTTTTACAGTTTCTCGTTAATGTGCCTATTTATTGATTCTATTCAAATTTCTTTTCATGATACTTTTCCGTTCCTTTTTTTGTGTCTTTTCTCGTTTCTAGGTTGAGATGAAAGAAACACAAAAAGAAATAAAAATAGACACACAAAAGAGGTGCGGTCAAGGTACGACAAAGGAACGTTAAAAATAACACAAAAAGACCGTGCCTATTCTGCATCTTCTACGTTACTATTGCTCTCCAAGGTCGAGCCACATCAGTACTGAGGTTGGAGACAACTTGGGAACCTGTGGTGCTGTAGTCTTTTTCTTAGCGTCATAGATTGAAAACAAGATCTTGATTGCTTCTGATTTGATGATCCATAAAAGCTGTAATCCCAATTTATCGAAAGGTGTTGATGATTTCTCCCGAGAACCTTTTAGAAGGACATTTCTTTTTGTGGCCTTTTGATTCTCGATATTCATGTTGACCTTTCGTCGATTAAAAAATGGCTAAATTAAAGTGGGTAATGTTGCTTACATTGTTTCTGTATTGTGTTTGTTGTTGTGTTGTGAATGGTCATTCATTTGTCAGTAAAACATTTGATCAATTGGATTCGACACTATCTCTTGTTTATGTTAATGATTACTTGACAGCTGTTGTGTGGAAAAATGTGTCAGAAAATTACAATTTAACTTCATCAAAAGATGTAACAACATTAATGAAACAACACAATTTACTCGATATTGCATTTATTCCAGCATCACTAAAAATGTCAACACTTTGGACGAAACTTAATTCAGATTTTAATCAAAAAAGAATTGTTAATTTTTATGGTTTCGTAAAGGGATATGGGCAGAGATTTCACATTTTAGAAGATTTTGATATGATCATAACATCGAGGAATTTGTTTTTGGAAATGTTTAGAAATTATCATAGAGGAAGTGGAAAGAGAACACCTGTTGGTCATTTATACGAAACTTCTGACTTTAACTTTATTGATCTTTATCCATATTCTGTTTATCAAGTGGATGAAAATGCAACTGGATTGAATTTAAGTATTTCAGTTAGTCAACCATCTTGTGGAATTCATCATCACTTTAAC